TTTTTTTTCCACCCATAGCACTTAACAGTGCTAAGGTGCATACCAGAATACTCTTAGGGATCTTATGCATAAAATCTTAAAATTTTAGACATGATCAAGTAGTCACCAGGATCCATGTCAGTAGGTAAAATCATACACCAGCTCATTTAATCCTTAGGAGAACCCAGGGGGTAAGTGTCACTCCCCACATTTTACAGAAAAGGAAACTGAGGCTCAGACAGGCTGAGAGACTGACGAGCCCAAGGCTGGTCAGGGGCAATGGCTGGGATGCAAACCCAGGCTGTTCTGATTCCAATTCCAGGAGACAAAGCATGCAGCCCACATTCCCTATTCACGTGAGGCCTCTAGGTTGGACATCCTGGAAGAACTCCAGCTCCAGCGGGCTCTGCTTCCCACCCCCACTGCCAAAGGATTTCCCAGCAAGTCAGAAATGACACACCACAAAAGGGAGTCCATGCATAACCCTATCCACATCTGGCCCAGGCTCAGTTAGCTCAGAATTAGTCACATTTTAAAAGGGGTGAGTGATAGGGAAGGTGAATTCTATTTTTTTGCCTATGAACTTCCTGGCCAGGGTGCAGGCGGGAACCAGGAAATAAAGAACCGGTGAATAGCAAAGGGCCTGATAAGATTTTTTTATTCCAGAGGCACTCATTAGCGAGGCTGAGTATTGCCAGGTTTCAGAAGCTCAGCTTCTCATGACTCCATTAAAAATCGCCTCCCTGCCACTCCCAGCACATGCTGTCCTCTGGACTCTGGCGGTCCACTCTACCTCAGGCACAGGCTTCTTAAGCACCATGTGGGGAAGGCCCTGGGCTACACACAAAATAGGCTGACCGTAGTGTGTGTTGTTGGATGGACAGGTGAGACGATGGATGTACAAACAAACAAACTCTTAAAGGAACAGAAGATATAGCCAGGCATCTTAAGGAACTCACCAGACAGGGTACAAAGAACATGAAAAATGAAAGGACAACACAAGAGCCACATACAACTGCATACAGCTGCCAAATGAGTATCATCTGTGAAGAGGAAGAAGAAGAAGACAGAGGAGGAATGAAGGATCCTCCCTTTTGTCTAAACCATCCGAGATCTCAGGTAGAAGAAGGCTGTCTGCAGGTTGAGCTCAGCCAAGGGAAAGGTCAGGGTGGGCCAGTCAATCTGGGAAGGCTTCAAGGGGGAGGATGAGCCCGCAGGGAGAACAGGACTCAGACAGGACTGAAGGACACGCTGATGGTGGGTTGTCTCAAGCCTGTCACTTAACCTCTCAACCTCTTGGTTTCCTTTTTTAAAAGGAGGTTGGCATGGCAGGCAGAGAGGGGAGGACACAGAGAAAAACAAAACGCCTGGTAGACGGTTCACATTCACCCTCAGACAGGGTAAATATTTACTCATCCATTCATGGCCTGGCTCTAGTGATGGCCCTCAGTTTGGGCCACCTGGGTTTATGCTGATGTCTGGTGTTGATCCGAGGCCCGAGGCAGCCAGTGTTTAGCCCATGGCACAGAGTCCAGCCCTACACCTTGTCTGTCTGGGAACTAAATGGATCCTATTTGATGGCAGTGGAAAAACTGACCAGCATGATGACCCTGCTGCTCCTGCCAAGACACCAGGGAGTCACAGTAAGAGCTGCCCTCTACTGCGTGCCCACCCCGTGCAGAAACATCCACGTGCATGTGCCTGTGGGGCAGTGTTTACCTTATCCCCACCGGGAAGCTGTAAGCGAGGCATACTGCCCACCCCCATTCCACGAACGAGGAAACCGAGGCCCCCCAAGACCACACCATTTACACACAGTTCCACAGAAGGGAACCTGGAGCCTGACCGGCCACTCGATCCTCTACTCTCCACACGAACCACAGACCTGAGGAAAACACTCGTTCGTCCAACAAATACTTACTGAGGGCCTACTGGGTGCCAGGAGCTGTCCAAGGCGCTGGAGATCCAGCCATGGACAGGACAGGGACAGCCCTCTCCTCGGGGAGCTGGCATTCCATGCAAGAAGACTGGCCCTAAACACACAACACACAATGAAGATGTAACTCCAGTAGGTGACGCAGGTTTCATGCCTGAAGGGGTAGGTTAAGCAAGGTCAGACACTGGGCCACTTGAGTGAAAAGGTCTATAGGGGTCGCCTGGAAGCATGTTTAAAATGCATATTCCTAGGCCACCCCATGGGGTTCCATGAGAAGTCTAGGGAAAAGCCAGAAGATCCACATCTGGTATTGGGCTAGGAGCCTGAAGGCCCCGGACCTCAGGCAGCCTAGGGTCCCAGGACAGAGCTCTGGCCTTGCCCCACCACTCGTGAAGCCATAGTGGACAGGAATCTCAGCTCACACTTCAATCTCCTCACTCACACAATAGACATGATAATGCCTGGCCTGACCTACCTCGCAGGATGGTGCTGAGATGCAAAAGAAAGCTATGAAGGTAAACTATAAAGGGCTGAACAACTGGGAGTTATGTATATTCTTAAACCACACTGTTAAGGGTGAGTCGAGCAAAAGAAGAAAACCAAGCAACCCCCTAGAGACCCAGGGGCTGCCCATCCAATGAACAGCTGCTCGGTGACAAATACCCCCACACAGAACCCACCCTGCCAAATAAGATAACTCTTGCACAAGCGTGGTTGCTCAGCAGGGGCCTGTGTGTGGGTTTCCATGCAGCCATTCATCCTGTGGGAACCCAGCGTGTGAGGTTCCTGGTTAGGCGAGGGCTGCAATAAATTACCCCGCCGCCAGCCGCTCCAGCCCACATGTTGCTCTATGGTCAGCACACTTCATCCCAGCAGTGACCTAACCCCAGCACTAGTCAAGTCAGCAGCAGCCTCTCCTGTTATCCTCCTCACAGGCACCAGCTCACATTTCAGGCCGTTTGCTCCCTTGGGCATGACTCAGAGAGTCAGTTGTCTTGAAAAAAATGCTTTTCATATTTCAAATCAAAAATAAATACCACGCACTCTGGATGCAAGCCATCACAGATGTCTCTGTTGAGCTATTAAAGTGAAAAGGCCCCAGGAAGCCGAAAAAGTGGTTAATTCTTACCGCCAAGTCCCTACTGCCTTCATCTGTGGTGAGCTGGAAGAGGGGCCCCAAGTCCAGGCGACAGGACTCATTTCTGGCTTGGGCAGCGTCAGAGAGGTCAGGGGTTCATGCATGCATTGAGACCGAAAAAAGTGAAAAGCAAAATGCCCAGCAGAGTAACCCCACTGGAAGACATCGTGGATCTAGGCACAGATGGACAGCAGCACCTCAAAGAGGCTCTCTGTGCATCGACTGGAGCAGCTCTAAATCCCGAAAGAAGGAAGGTGGGTGGTCAGCAACAGAAGCTGCAACGATGGGGGTGCAACAGCAACCACAGCAGCGCCTGGGCAAGCACCGTCCAGCTGGGAGGTGGCCTGCCCAGCACACAGGGATGCACCCGGCCATCAGGGTACATTTGCTTCCCATGACTCCCTCCGCTCCTCATGCTGACCTACTCACGCCTCTGACCATTTGGCTTCCTGGGTGGGGTGTCCACAAGGAGAAACGCCCTGATTGTAACCTCACAGTGGTTATCCTTTTCAATAAATAAACCAGTAGCTTGATTTGTGCTCCAGCTTCTTGCTAGTTAGTGGGAGCCAGCAGTTCTGACTCCGGGGCCTGACGAAATGAGGTTTCTGAATTGGTAAGACCAGGCCCAGCTCCCAGGTAAATTCACCAAGGTCAGGGCCATCTTCTGGCCACCAGGCTTTCTCCCCTAGATGCCCAGCTGTCCCATCTTTCCTTCCAGCCCTGCCAGATGCACCCTCATGTAAGCACAGCATCGTGAGGATTTTTCAAGGTATTCCTAGGTCACACCTACGGGTACACTGTGAAAAATGGAAATTAAAAGCTGCACTTTCAACTTTGGCTGTGTTTAATTTCTATTCAAACACAGCCACAGGTGAGGCCTTGATCAACTGTGATATTTGGTAATGAGACATTCTGATTTATGAATATCCTCATGAACCAAAAATAACCAGAAAACTTTTTTTCTTTTTCCAATTCCCTGTGAAACTATTCTAGAAAGGATGCATCCACTCATCTTCCTCAACATGTCCATTTGCTCTAAACACAATAAATTCTTTTTCCAAAGACAGGGTTCCCTCCAGCCTCTCAGGCCTCATTATGAAGTGAATTCTCACTGAAGAGATCAACAAGCTGTATAAGCTGCAAAGACGGACAGTTGGCTGGGTCACTTAAGACACCCCAGTAACAGCCACGGGCAATGTCTCTTTCAAGGGAACTAAAGCCTTAAAATAACAACAACAATCTATTTTTCCAGTGATTTTTTTTTTCAGTCTTATTCTACAGGGTATCCAAAGTGTTGGAAAATAAGATATACTGTTTTCCCTGTTTCTAGACTTTTGGGATACTCTGGGATGTATATGTTATACCTTTTCAGATTAGCAGTTGGACCCATCAGTTTAAATTTAGAGGTCTTCCACCTTAAAAAAAAAAAAAGTCCAAGGGTTGCAGAAACACATTGAATATATTATTTGGAAATGTAACTTAAAAGACTGTTTCAAATTAAGTTTATCCTGTTTCCCAGCTTTGGGGCATTGTGTATATCTGCGTGCCTAATGGGCTGGACACTAAAGTGACAATAGTAGAAGGATGTGGTGATACTATCATAATATTAACAGCTGCCATTTAATGAGCATTTGTAGTAGGCCAGGACTTGTCAATCTCCTACACATTACAATTTAACCTTTAAAACAAATCCAGTGAGAAATTTTATCCTCATTTTACCAATGAAGAAACCGAGGCTCAGAAAGTTTAAAGTCTTTGCCTTAAGTCCCATAACTTCCCAGTGGTGGGGCCAGGATTCAAACCCCGGTCAGTTTGTATAACCCTAAAGTCCTGTTCTTCTCCACCCCACTGTACTGCATCTCAGACCACAGGCAATGTCACTGCAGTGTCATTCTCTGCATGCAAAAACTATCCTGGTCCATGCAGCAATTGCTTTCTTAAGACTATCAGATAAATCCTGGCTTGAAAACAAAAGTTTAGGAACCAGCTCAGCTCAGCTCCTAGCTGGCTGTATGACCCTCAAAGTGCCCTCACCTCTCTGGACCTCAGTATTTTGGGCTATGAAACTAGTATATATTTCCTGAGATCTCCTCCGGCTCTAACAAGACAAAAAACAACAACAATAAACAACCAAGAAATCACCAACCATCCATAAATCCTCAGGTAGGAAACAGGCCAGAGGATTACTGGGAGGACAGAGTCCTAGCTGCTCACTCCCAAACTCTGCTGAGGAAACCACCAGAAACCAGACACCCACAGCAGGATGGGGTGCAGGGGGAAGGGAAGAAAGAGAATCTCAGGCACCCCCACCCCCAGGCTACCTGAAGAATCCCCAAAGCCTGTCTGCAGATCAATTTTTCTTATCTAAGAAGAAAAAAAAAAAAGAGTATAACCTGCATTTTCCTTATTTGTAAAATGAAAATGCCTCATTTGCTCATTCAACAAAGGATTGGTATGTGAATCTACTGAAGTATTAATCATAAATGTGCTTTGTAAAAGCAAAAAACAAGAAGGGGGTATAGAGACTCTGGGATAAGGCAGATTTGGGTTAAAACTTCAGCTCTACGCGGTTACTGGCTATAAGTGGTCACGTCAACTTAACCTCTATGGGACTCCATTTCCTCACCTATAAAGTTCAGACCTCAGGCTGGTGCTAGGATTTTGTCATGATGAAAATGTCCTTCTCTGCGTTGGCTAATGTGGTAGCCACTAGCCCCATGCAGCTACTCAGAAATGTGGCTACTATGACTGAGGAACTGGATTCCAAATTTTATTTAATTGCAACTACCTGAAATGTAAACAGCCACATGTGTGAGTGGTGGCTACAATATGACATAACACAGCCTTCTACTGTAGTGATAAGAACTAAATAAGATAACACCTGTGAACTGCCTAGCACAGTAAGTTCTGAAGGAAAAATGCATGAAGATGTGGAAGCCCTATGAGTGGGGAGCTATATATATATACATATATATATATATATATATATATATGCGCCAGGGGTACCAAAACAATGTACACATTTTAAGAGATGTTACCTATGCATTACTTTTCAAAGTTGAATTGAATTACGGAAGCAATGTGTAGTATGACGTTTGCTCAAAAGATGGCGTCAATCAAATAAATGCTAGTGTCATTCATTGTATTACAATTTTACTACAGTTTTTTCCTTTCTTAAAATGTATATACATTTTTTTTGGCACTGTGTGTGTGTGTGTGTGTGTGTTTGTGTGTGTAGTTTTTTTTAAAGCAGAATGTCCTCACATCAAGAAAGGTAGGCACTAGAAGCTGACAAAGAGATACATAGACATTTTAGAAACACATAAAGAAATTAGATATACTGCAATCATTCCCTTAAATGCATAAACTGAATGGCCGAAAGTCCGTTTTGTTTTCTTTACAAATGTTTTTGTCAGCAGATAAAGAGAGGCGTTTTAGACCAAATTGGGTTTTTATAACCCTAAGTGTCCAGTACCAACTGCCCCATGAGCAAGCTCTCACTGCTTAATAAAACCTGTTCATGGGCAGCCTCCCTGGGGCCTCTAGGGAGCTGCCCTCCAGCACCCAGCACGGCAGAGACAGCAGTCATACCCTGCCCAGGACACACTCCCAGTGGGGTGAAAGCCACCCACAGTGTTTGAGGTTCACAGGGCGGATGGGCTGGCAGTGGCCAGGTCAGGAGTGCCCACCGGCTCTCACTGGCAGCCCGCCTGCATCAGAGCCTAACAGGAAACGAGGAGAAGACAGCATGGGCTGCGTGGAAATCCCCACCGGGCCCCATGCCAGAGTGTGACTCAGGGGGGCTGGCCGTCGAGCTGCCCTCCCACCCTCAGCCAGGACCCAGGGGGCCCTGCTTCAGGAAACAGCGCAGCCTCTGCACAGACTAAGGCACAAAAGTCCTTAAATATT